TACGAGCAGAAATAATTCCGTGTCGTAACAAGCGATTTTCAACTTAAAAATAAATTCAGTCAAGTTAAATATGTCTTGACTAGAGACTCTGTAACAGTCTGCTGAGCGATTTTGTCAGAGTTCTGCAAGAGAGAAAGATAAATTATTTTTCTCTGTATATATACTATCTCATTCTAACTTATACTGTTTCACTTTATAACTTTAATTGTGATATTACAGAGACAGTAAAAGTTAAAGTGAGAGGGTACCTTTCTCTCTCGTAGGATTTTGACAAAATCGCTCAAGACTATGATTTAGGATCTCTACATTCTCAGGTTGCCAAAGACGTGGAAAACCGGGAAAACCAGGAACAGTCAGGGGAAAATGTAAAAAACTTGCGCACTTTTTAAACGATTTTAACAAAATAATTACAATTTATATTTTATTCAATATTTTTATTTGATCCCTCTTTTTCGTCGTAACTGCATTCTTTTCTTCAAAATTTATTTTTTGCTGGCTTGAATTTGCACCTAAAATTTTACTATGCTACTAAGCTTTTTTTGCGTCTTTAATAATATAACTCTCCTACAATCCTCGAGTCTAAATGTTAAAATTTACATATTTTATATTAGTCACGGAAAATTTTCCATTTTCATCTGGAAAACCTGGAAAAGTCAGGGAATTTTAAAATTTATTTTCTGTGGCAACCCTGAAAAATATCGATGTAGATTTAATACCTTTAATATAGATTCAACATTCACGCGATATATAATTTTCATATTAAATTAACCAACATATATATAGTGTGGATTTGAAACTCCTATTTATATCAACACCATCATGGTATGGATTTAAAATCCATGATGTTAAATCCATATCATATTGATATTAATTTAACACAATGAGAATTATATAGACACCGACTGGTGTTAAGTTCACACCGCTATTTTTTAGAGTGTAGTCTTGATTGCTTAGAAAAATAAATCAAATACCAAAATAATTTATATTCTGAATAAATGCAATCTCGCTTTTGATGATTCCACTCGAAAGAAAGGGAGAGTTCATGAAGGCCGTGTTTCTCGTGTACGCCATGATACTCTGTGTTCCGCCGTCGTCGAATTATTCTCCATTTGCTAATGATCCTCCGGACAGTCGGAACCCGCTCGTCTGGAAACTCGTCCTGCGTTCTCGTTTAATAACCATTAGCCGCGCGACGTGATGGCCGGTAGGTGTCGGTCGGCGATTTTCGGATTGTCCCAACTCCCCGCCCGAAGGGGCGAGGGTGTCAAAGATCTAGAGCAGATAGCGGCGCGGCTATATTGATGAGGTGGCTCTCTCCGCGTATTGATTCCAGGGCGGAGGGCTTTCCCCGCAACGAGCGCACCCGCGGGCCCCTTTTGCTACGCGCAAGGGTTGATAAGATCCGGCAGATAAGGCATGATTACACACCGCACCGTACCTACCTTCTCTCTCGTCGGTCTCGTCCCTCCCCGAACCTCCTTCCCGTGCCTTCCGACCCTTGCGCGCTCCATTCTCGAGGTAAACAAGGGTCCGTTCTCCGCGATGGACGTCGGGACAAAAATGGATCGAAGAACGATAGATTTTACTGAGGCAGCATAAATTCATCATGCGTCAAAAGTAGGTTAGCAATTAAGGGATAAACAAATATGTGTTAAACTTGTATTAATTTAATAAGGAGATCCATTATCCTTCATGGAAGGATAATGGACCTCCTCTTTGCGACATAATTGCGCGCGGCAGTTGCTGCTTATCTCTCGATCTTTGAAATTTTTTTATGACATGCACTACAATAACCAGGCACGCATCGACCACCCCGGAAACTGCAAACTCTCGATCACGCACTGATCCGCGAATTTGTCCCTAAACATCGATAGAATGCGAGACTGCGCTCGAAAGAGAGGTACTCGAAAAACGTTACGAGAAAAAAATCGGAGACACTCTCGATTGGTACTGTCTCAGAGTTCATTGTGACGCAATGTACAGGGAAGGCGGGGAACAAAGGAGAGCAGTTTTATGTCTTGCATAGGGGACACGCGTGCTATTCCTCTCGCTCAAAGAAATTTCAATAAGCTCGCTATTATGCGAGTCTCCGGGCGGGAGGCTCTCTCCCCTGTATTTTGTGCTTTCGCCGACAATGACGCAGGTATAGTTTCGCTCGACAGTGCCCTGCCTTTCCGAGTGCCAGGGTGCAGTGTCATCTTGGGGGGGGTTAAGTGGTTTGTGAGTAGGGGGTGAACAAGGGGCGAAAGTGGAGGGTCAAAGGTGGGCGCCTTTCGTAAAAGAAACATCTTATGCGCGCCGTCACCGCCATTATCTTGGCACAGTGATCGATTTTGTTAAGTATATTCATCTTATCAGCTATATGTGCAGCTAAGTTTTAAACATATGACGTATACATGTATAAATAGAATATCATGAAATTTGATATTATTATTTTGTGTACGAGTACGAAATGTCAGTTCAACATGAAAATTAATCAGCATAATTAAATGCATAAAATTTAAATAATAATTATTGCAATTATTATTATTATTAATGTACCAATTAATATAAGTTTCAAGTAATCAAGATACAATCCTTGACGGACAATTTATCATGTTGAACGCTTGGCAATAATGATTCAAAGCCCGTAATCTCGAAAGAGCTAAATAATATCGTTCATTAATTTGTTTCGGTCAACGTCCATTGCGCGATGCACCAAAGTTTACCTGCAGCGCCGAGTTTTCGGTAACAGTATCATCCATTAACGGTTAAGTGGTTCAACAGGAAGAACCAGAGAAAGAGGGACGGGGGTATAGAAGAGTGAAAGGTAGATACGTGCGTCGGGGAAGGATCGAAGAAGAAGGCATTTTATAATACGGATCCGACGGCGGCGGGATACCTGCTCCCGTTCCCTCTCTCTCTCGCGCGCGCGTTCGAGAGTGCATTCGCGCGCCGCGCCGGTTCGGGATGTGGGGAAATAAGCCGCGGTTAGTCCCCGAGGGATAAAACGGATCCCGCTCCTTTTCGTTAAGTGTTTGCCACTCGCATGCCGTCGAACGAGGGTATACAGGTGTACGCGGGATCGAGTTTTTGAGTTTCCCACTCCGTAAGAATGGGAGACGCTTTCCGACGATAAGCTTCTTGCTCTCCTCGCTATCGGCTCTTCTCTTTCTTTCGAGATACGTCGATTCGGCAGGCAGGCAGGCAGACAGCCAGCCGGGAGGGATTTTGAGGGGTTGATGTGTCACGCTAACCCGCGTCAAGCTTGTGGCTTTTTGATTCCACGCATAAGCCGATGGATCGAATGCGCTTCTGGCGTGGGAGTAGACGGACTCGAGCATGCTTGAAAAGAGTATTTCATTCCGTCGCGCGTTTTATAATCCTTTCTCGCATAGTGCGAGTCTAATCATGATTTCCATGCGCCGCGTGTTTCTTGAAACAATTTGTTCGAAGAGCAATTTAAAAGAATAATATATGTGCGTGATGTAAGATAAGAATGTCTTTGGTTTTCAATATATATTTATAAAAACTGATGCACGTATAATTTGATTTCTTAAACAGAGTCGTAACTTAAACTTTTTCGAACTGATAAATAGATGACTTAAATTAATCAATTAACATAAGATACAATAAAATCCAGTATAAAATTCGAAAGAACGAAATTATAAGGAGAGAGATATTTCGGTTAAAAAAGTAGTTCATCAACTTGATGTCCATGGATATAAAATGTTTTGCCAAATTCCTCGATTGAAATCGAGAATCCAATTTTGAAAATCCAATGAGAAATTCCTGATACAATAATTCTCAAATCTTACGGATTCAAGTCTATGTGACAAACTGGATTCTAGATTTCAACCGAGGAATTTGGCAAACCATTTCATACCCATGGACATCAAGTTGAACTATTTTTGACCGAAATGTCTCTCTCCTCATAATTATTTTATTGGTTTCAACATGCTACACTATGTTCGTTTTTATATGTAATCGACACACCACTGATGCTATAAGTAGGTATATCATATAGTTGTTATGTTCCATCGTCTTGACATTGTATTCACTGAAGAAAGCTTTGTAAGCCGAAACGTTTGAATTATATATAGAATTTTTATTGTATCTTATATATGTTTGTTTATTAATTTCGTTTTTTCAAATTTTATACTGGATTTTATTGTATTTTATGTTAATTGATTAATTTAAGTCATCTATTTATTAGCTCGAAATAAGCCACGACTCTGTTTAATTTGCGTTAGCAATAATACGAGCCTTTTTATTCCAAATCTCTGACTTCTTTTTTTTTATAACTAGTAAGACGAAGATTAATCTAATTACTTAATGAATCTGCTATTTTAAATATTTAATTTAAATGGTAATTTTTTTCCTCGCCATTTTTCTTATAATATTTTATCAATATTCGCATACGCTAAAATAAATTAATTAAATTAAAAAAACTCTTATCAATTGTCGATATCTAAACAGATCTAACCCTGGCAAAAGAGATAAAAGAGCTCTATGCTCTCTAACATTTTATTGCTTAATATTTACATTGCATAAATATATTTAGAACTCACTTTGCGACGCTACAAAATGGTCTGTATGCCCGCGCTTTAAATTACAATATTTATCTTGCAATTTATTATATCTGCAACTGAAGAAAAAATTTGAAAAAAGTTTTTTTTACACGTAATTGTAAGTATATGGTATCATAGATAGTGCGGTAATCGAAGTTACGAAAAGTATCTTAATTGCTTGGGTTAAATCTAATAGGCTTCCTACAATAAGCCATTACTTAAGCTTAAGTCTTAAGTCGTAAGAAATCGATCAACCACAGTCGATTATTCTTCTCACATTCGACTGTGATTGGTCAATTTCTTATGGCTTAAGACTTAATGTTTAGATAACGGCTTATCGTGGAAAGCTCATAACTGAGATGATCGCGCGATCTAATTAACGATCGTCCGAAACGCCAACGTGACGGGTGTGATATCTGTGTCTTCTCTTTTCCAAAACTGTCGCTGCAGAGTGCGGCGAGACGGGCGGGCACCAGCTGTGCCAACTGCAAGACGGCGACCACGACTCTCTGGCGGAGGAATCAGGCCGGTGAGCCAGTCTGCAACGCTTGTGGGCTCTACTACAAGTTGCACAACGTGAGTAACATTCATTAATTTATTACTCCCTGGCCACGATATACGGCGATGCGCTGCGAAATCGGGGTACGACAGTTCCGTAATACAATTGTAATACCTTTTTAAAACAGAAGCTTCTTCTCGATACGTTGTTCAATGAAACTTGTGGTCAGCAAATTTCACGCCAACTTTGCGGCACGCTTCGTACGTAATTAGTCGATTAATTGCGACGGAGAAAGTTATTCTTTAGCGCACACCGCTGGTAGTTTCGAATTAATTCACAATACTTATCGCGGACATCGCGGACAATCGCTTGTTAAACGGTACCATTTTTATATCTTACGTAACATAATCGAACAGATAACTTCAAGTCATTTTCCTTATTATATTCGATTGATAGATCAAAGCGTTTTATTCGCACAGTGATCGTCAATATTTTATCAGCAATCTTACGAATCTGAAATATCGTATAAACGATTCGCGGAGAATCGTGATAACGTGAAGAAATCTCTGTATTTTCTTGGCTAAATAATATATATATATAATAGGTCGTGTTGTACTTTTTACACTCAGTATCTTCGCTCTCTTTCTCTTCAACTCTCGAATATATATTTATCTCGTTTCAAGTGCAAAAATTTTGGTGGATTTCAAGCAACACGAATAAGCCTAATGTTATTCCCGTCGGAAGCAACCACGCGGGTGGCCGTTTGCAAACACACAAACTCACACACGCGAGTAGTTCCCTCGAGACAATGAAAGCAGCGCCGCGGAGGGGAAATACCGGTGTTGTACCAACAATTAGGATGCTTTCTGGTTTGCCGGACGTGGTCCTTACACACGTACATAGGCCGTCTGGAAGGGGTGGAGCGTGCTCAACGGCGTGTGACACCGGAAGCGCCGGAAGCGAGTGCCGCGGCGACGAAGTGGGGGGGGGGGAGGACACGATAAACGTAATCGAGATGGAAGGGGGAGACCTAGAGCGGAGAGAGTGTCGCTATTTTTCCTTTTCTTTTTCATTGAAGACGATATTTCAAATCCGCGATGCACGACGTTAATATACGTTGGACTGTCGCTCTCTCTCTCTCTCTCTCTCTCTCTCTCTCTTGTTGCCGGTGGACTTCCGTAAAACGGAAATCTCGAAGATGACCGAGAGCGTGTAGGCGACGGCCTTAATAGGCGAGACACGCGTCGCGACGGTTTCTAGCCGAGGAATTTCACCGAGTTAACGAGTTCACGAGATAAAATGCACGCGCCATTTCTCGCATACCGTTGTTTTTCGGGTAAATGCGCCATTTGATTTTTCAACCTACGATATTTGCAAAGAAATGCATATATATGTGCGATTTTTACGTCAGTGGATTTATCATTGATAATTTGCTGCAATAAAAAAATTTCGTTTTAGACAATACAGCCGCTCCTTCATTCTGATATTTTCGAGGATATTTTATCCTTGCGTAATTAAAAACAGATATTTGTACAGCATCTGCATTCATATAGAGGAAAGGCCCCTATTATGAGATACCGAGTTCGTTTTGGGTAAATGTTAGACATTTATAGGCAGAATTTTAAAAAATAATACGTTATTTTGAAGAAAATGTAATAAGATAACGTTATGTAAAGTTTAATTCAAATTCTGTTTTTTTTTTTTAAATTAACCCTTACCATCTACAATTTGGTGCCTTATCCATACCAACCAGGGTCACTAGAATCTCTTCGTTTTTTCACCTCTTCAAAATAATTCAAAAAATCTCTAAAAACTCACCAACATACTTTCAACTTTCTAGAATAAATATTGACTTTTCATTTTGGAAAATAATAAAATGTAGTATAATTTATAATTACCGAAAGATTTGTAAGTTGGAAAAAAATGGCATTTGATTTAAAAAATTATAACTTTTCATAATAAATGAATATAAAAAAATCACTCCAGGGTTTTGTAGTTTAGATATGAAGTTATGAAAAAAAAAATACTAGAACTTCGAATTCTACAAAAAGTTGAATTATTTGAACACATGAATATGAGTAATTTTCAAT